GGAAAACACCTTCTGCAACATTGTGCACTAATGTGTATGGCATTTTCTTTCTCTTTCTTCTTCTATGGGAAAGCACGCCTCCCAACGTATAGAATGACTTGTTTTTCAGTATGTGGGCATTTTGTGTATGATTAACTATAGTTGGGGAAAACTGTCACTCTTCAAAGATTCTCCAAATGTTCTCACAAAATGTCAGGATCAAGTTCCAAAAAGGCTGAGAGAAGCTGACATTCTTTAGAGTTTATCAGAAAACCTAGGTATGATAAAAACACTATAGTAAAAAGAACAACTAAATATTTCCTGTGCTTAGTGAAATATTTTCAGAAAGCCAAGACAGAATCAAACATCAACTTCCCAGTTTTCTAGCTTGCAGCTCAATTGTAAAAGCAGAACTCAAGGAATAAGAGCACTTCAAAAAAGAACAAAGTGAGAGAATTCACAGGATCTGACTCAAAGAGTTATGATAAAGCTGTATTAATCACAGCAGATTAACAACTTGCCTAAAGACAGACAAACAGTTGAGCGGACAGCATAGAGTCCCAAAATAGATACAAATATGTATGATACATAGATACCTGATTTTCAATAAAAAAATTAAAGCTGACAACTCTTCATTATATTTTTAACATATAGTATCAAAGCAAACTGATTTCCAGAAGAACAAAAAAAAAAAACCTAAAAATTTTTCATTATACCTAACACAGATATAAAAAGCAATTCCGAAGTTCTCGTGCCATGGATGTAAGATGTAGTGCTGGGAAAGATATATAAAAGAATAAAGAGACATAAAAAGGAACTTTGTGACCTTGGATTAGGCAATGATATACTCAGTTCCAAAAACACAATGATACTGATGGACCTCAACCACACCAATACCTTCTGCCTCTATTATCATTGTCAGGAACGTGAAAAGACAGCTAGGAGAGAATACTTGTGAACCACACTGTGCTCAAACCCCACTAAAGCACCTAGGAGCTCCCCGAAACTCAAGAAAAACAACCAACTTATTTTTAAATGGGGAAAAAAACAGTTATACTGAGTTCACCAGAGAAATGGGATGGAAATGGAAAGAGACTTGGAATCATTTGCCATTTAGAAATGGAAGATAATATCAGAAATATAATTACATGTCATTGAATTATTTAAGACTTTAAGGCTGACCTTCCTGTGTTGTTGAGACTATGGAGTGACTGAAACTCTGGTGGGGACATAAAATTGAAAAGTAATTCTGGAAAATAGTTAGGCTGCTTGAAAAGTTAAATATATACCATATGACTCAATATTTTAATATCTAGGCATTAATGCAAGGGTAATGAAATTTTAGGTCCATACAAAGACTTGTACATAACTCTTTATGATAGCACTTTTGTAACAAATAAAAACCTACAAACAACCCAATATCTATCTGCAGCTGAATGAATAAGCAAATTGTGTGATGTCCTTATAAAGCAAAAGTTCTGAACCTTCCTACTGCTGGGGCCCTTTAATACAGCTCCTCATGTCAGTGACCCTTAACAATAAAATTATTTTCTTTTTTTGTTGTTGTTGCTTCTTTTTTTTCCCTTTTCTTCTTTATTAAGAGGTTTTCTATTTGTTTTACATATCAACCATGGATTCCCCTGTCCTCCCTCCTCCCACCCCCCAGTCCACCAACCCATCTCCCATTCCCACCTCCTCCAAGGCAAGGTCTCCCCAGGGGAGTCAGCAGAGCCTGGTACATTCAGTTGAGGCAGGTTTTATCCCTTTCTCCCTGCACCAAGTCTGAGCAAAGTGTCTCAGCATAGGCACTAGGTTCCAAAAAGCCAGCTCATGCACTAGGGACAGGTCCCAGTTCCACTGCCTGGGGGTCCCCTAAACAGTTCAAGCTAAACAGCTGTCTCGCTTATCCAGAGGGCCTGGTCCATAAAATTATTGTCATTGCTGCTTTATTTGCTGTAATTTTGCTATTGTTACAAGTCACAATGTCAATATCTGATATGCAGGATATCTGATCTGTGACCCCTGTGAAAGAGTCGTTGGGTACTCCCCCCCCCAAGAACTCCATCTATAATGAAATCACAAGCAATAACAAGAAATGGACCAAAGCCATTTGAGCGAATAGGTGTCGAGTTATGGTGCCTAATGAAAGCAGACAGACGAAAGGAAGGCTCACATTGGACTCCACCTACTTTGATTTCTAGTAAATCTAAAGTAATCCATAGTGATAAAAGAAAGCAAAGCAACAGTTGCCTTGGAGGAGAAAACGAGAAAAGACAAAGACACACAAGGATACATGGGAGAGTTACAGATATCATGTTCATTATCATGATTATGGTGATCAATTCCGGCATATGTAAATATGTCAAAACATCAAATGAGCACTCTTAAGTATGTGCAACCTATTGTGTGTCAATTATACCTCATTAAGACTGCAAAAAACAAACAAAACACGGTATATGATCGAGTTGGAAGATGATATTTCAGGACTGACACAGTGAAGGGATTCTAAATTGACACACGGCAAAGCAGAGAGAACAGCTTCCCAGAAGTTGTATAGCTGAAATCTCATTGCAAGTCAGCTCCTCAGGGAGTGTTCATGCATCCACTATATTCAAGACTCCATACTAGACATGACCATAAGGAAAGTGTAGATTAATAAGATAGGCAAAGACCTGATGCTACCCTTTAAGGTAATTTAGAGTTAGAGCTGGTAGAGGTTTTGTACAAAATGTGCTGGGAGGACAGAGAAAGTAGGTTAAGCCTACCAGGATGTTCAAGGAGGGGCTTGACACGGAGCATCCTCTGAGGATGGGCTAAGCCAAGAAGAATGACAAGAGTCACTGTTCTGAGGAAAAGGGGACTCGGGAGCAAAGACAAGATGGTGTCACAACAGCCCACAGTCAGAGAGGTCAAATCCATCAGCACTGGCTGAAAATGACAGTGTGGTGGAGGGTGGCACTCATTCATGGCCTCAATGTGACAGTGAACAACTATTCACTAAGTGTGGTACATAAGAGGCTGGCTGCATCAGGTCAGATGAGGGGTGAGGTTTTTAACCTCAAAAACCTTACAGTGCAGAGAAATCCTTCTAGAGAATTTTCTTGATAGTCTTATAGTGGCCAACAGAGACCCTATCCAGAAGAGTCCAGGCTATGTTCCCTGCCCCAACGTGGAAAGACTTTATTCTGGAAACAAAAGAACGCCATGAAGAAATTTAGGCTAGCATGAGCAGGCGCACCTAAAAGACTTGGTGGACCTGTAAGAGGCAAAGTCCAGAGAGGAGGAAATTAGTCAGCTCACCATTAACACAAAACAGGGCTGGAAACAGGAGGTTAACACATGGAGTGGTAAAGCCTGTGGTGAGTTCAATGAGAGGCACATCAGCTTCAAAGCAGCTAAGAGTCCAGTTGGTACGGCACAGAGAGTACAGCTAGACTGAATAGTGGGTCCCCAGACAGGTAAATGCTGGATAAGGACTGTGCTCTAAGAATCAGAACCAAGAGACGGTTTGAAACTGAGGAGGCAAAACTTCCCCTGTATTTGTTGGACAAGGAGACTGCCTATGTTTTGCCTAATACATCCTTTGTCCTCGCTATTTCTCATTTTTACTGACTTCTCTTACATGGACACACTTACTATAAGGTACTTCCCAAAACAGGTGCCAATGTGACAGCATGAACTCAAAATACCAAATCAAGGAACACTGAACTCAAGCATTTTGAAACTAGCTCTCCTTAACTTTATGTTAGTGCTTCGAAAATGTTAAACACCTAAAATATAATGTAATAAAATACAAAAATATAGCATTTCAAAAATCATCTTTAATTCGGGAGCTAAAGTTATAATTTTCTCACTGTAAATTTAATGGGGTCCCTAAACAAGCCTACATTGTTTAGAGAAACAAAAGCAATAAACATTGAAAAATGATAAAGCATCATCTTTGTGGTGATGTCTCTGAGTAGGGAGGTTAGTGTCTTACTGCAAAATTATAACTCTCAATTTTAGACTAGTAATGGCATCATTTGTCTCAAAGAATTCTAAAGTGTAAAGAGACACAAGATTTCATCAGCACCTCCTATGAACCTAAAACCTGTGCTGTTTGTGGGGACCAGGCATCAATTCAGCCGAAGTGTGAGAGATGGAGGGCTGATACAGAACTGTACTCCTGGATACCTCATAAGCCAGCCCAAATATCCTCCTGCTAAAGAGGACAGAGAAGCGTCTAACCAAGCTTTCCCATGATTCCTTGCACTTCCTCCCTTGTGAAAGCAGTTTTTACAAATTGTCCTGTGCTAAAGGGGCCCCTGACTTCTCTCTGCCCAGTGAAGCTGAAAACCCTAGTTTCTGCTGGTGGAAGTTAGAGCCCCAACAATGAATGTAACTGCCACACATTTGATTTTGTATGTTAGGATGCAACAGAGGACTCTTTTATTTGTGTAGAGCATGTGGAAATACAGAAAAGCAGCCGGGTGGTGGTGGCGCACGCCTTTAAACCCAGCACTCGGGAGGCAGAGGCAGGCGGATGGATCTCTGTGAGTTCGAGGCCAGCCTGGGCTACAAGAGTGAGTTCCAGGAAAGATGTAAAGCTACACAGAGAAACCCTGTCTCAAAAAACAAGAAAAAAAGAAAAGAAAAAGAAAGAAAGAAAAGCCCAAGAAAAGACAACTACTTGATTGATATACATAAATGAATACCTGTCAAACAGTGATGGCCATGGATCCTGTTCACTTTCTTCCTTATCCCCTCCTCTCCTCCGTCACAGTCGACCTCCATATCCCTTTCTCAGAAAAGTGAAAACCTAGTACAATTTCATAACACACCTGATTTCTGATCTTCTAAGTGAATTATGTGACTGTCCATACCAAGAGCAACTCAAATACAATGCAGATATTTGCTATGGGATGGTCTGTATGTCAAATTGCTCTGATTGGTCAATAAATAAAACACTGATTGGCCAGTGGCCAGGCAGGAAGTAGGTGGGACAAGGAGAGAGGAGAATTCTGGGAAGCGGAAGGCTGAGGTGGAGAGACACTGCCAGCCGCTGCCATGACCAGCAGCATGTGAAGACGCCGGTAAGCCACCAGCCATGTGGCAAGGTATAGATTTATGGAAATGGATTAATTTAAGCTATAAGAACAGTTAGCAAGAAGCCTGCCACGGCCATACAGTTTGTATGCAATATAAGTCTCTGTGTTTACTTGGTTGGGTCTAAGTGGTTGTGGGACTGGCGGGTGACAAAGATTTGTCCTGACTGTGGGCAAGGCAGGAAAATCTAGCTACAGATGTTGTCATTGAATGCCATAGGCTCACATTTCAGGATGTGATAATCTGAAACAAGCAGAAAGTAGAAAAGGAGAAAGACCAAGTGTCTGCAGTGGGTAAAGGGTGTGATGACATGCTCCAAATGGTTCTCGCCTCCAGCAGTGAAGTTTGAGGACTGTGTTTATAAAACCCACACATAGTCATCTAGAAACTCACATTAGGCCTGGATAGTAGCCTGCGTAAGGTGTGGTGAGGCCAAAAGTTTTGGGTCGTGTTCAACTCATCTCAGAATATTGTAGCTGCAATCTAGAAAAGAACTTTGGAAGGTTAGTTAATATAAAATTTGTCCCTGCAAGGTATTTGCAACAATATCAATTAGCTTCCTTCTTATATAGCCAATTAAAATTTCCTGGATGTTGTGTTCATCCACTAATTGAGACTTTTGTGTCTGGACAAGAGCTGTTTGAATATTCTATAGGATGAGCAATGTACAACAGCTACCCACACATGTCCAAGACCACCAGGGGTTGAAATACTCTGGGTCAGTCTTTTGTTTCAAGTATAAATGGAAACCCCTTCAGCTAATACCGAGGCAACGGTATATACTAAGAGTTTCATCTTTGTCTTCACTCTTACGAGCAGTACACACATTCAGCCATGATAATATTTTCTAACATCTCATGCTGAATGTTTTACAAACATAATGTGTGCGGTTTAGATGAGCAGAGGCATGCTCACTCCTTACATTTGTCAGAAGTCTTTAATAAAATATCCACAATTCATTTCTGAGCTCAGAATTTCATAAGAGGGAACACTTTTATGTGCTAAAATACTGATTTGGAATTGTCTTTGAGGAGCTGGGGGACCGCTATAGCAATCAAATCCAGGAATTATATGCAGCCATTCTGTTCCGTGTATATTGCCTTTGAATGGAGTAATCTCAGGAAAGAGTTTGTGTAGCCTTCTCTTTACGCTTAAGCTCAATCACCATGTTAGAAAAAGGATCTGAATTTTCCACTAATCAGAGCATGGACATGTTTTGTCGCATTACAGAGGGTCCGAAGTACCAAGTTCACTGATTAATGTGATATTTTTATTCGGAATGGCGAGAGGAAACAGCACCTCCCCTGTGAGCTTACTAAATCATAGGAGCTCAGGACCTGAGTCCTTACAAGCGAAGATATTATAAGAGTGTAGCATCTTCTACAGTCAGACATTAAAGGAAAGGGTCTTTTATTGTTCCTCACTTATGGTTTGCGGCTCCATCCCGGGCAATTTAGGATGTAAATGAAAGACTAAATAACTAAATGCCAAATTACAATTTCCATGCTTCGATCTCGATGCGCCACTGCTGGATGGGGCTCTTTAATATTCTACAACGCCCGTGACAACTACTTCAAGTGTTGGATATGCAATTTCAATCTCTTTTTCTCTGAGTCTTTGTACCTTTTAGTCTAACAACAAAGAGGAACAAAGATCCTAATTATACCCATAATCATTATTATCTGAAGAAGTTCCCAGTAATTAAATTTTAAAGAAAATTTATTTAATGAGCTTTCTACAGTCACATCCAAGCAATACACATTCAAGTAGATAGTGATTAGTATGAAATAGCACTAATTTGAATGACTTGATAAAAGCTTCTACTTCACTACTATGTTTTTAATAATTGTGTAATTACATAGAGAATTATTCCTGTAAATATCGCTTGTTTTATATAGAATTGGAGACATGAAGATGTGTTCTATCTGGAACAAATTTCCAATATTTTGAAGCTGTACCTTCTTGTGTCAGCTAAAAAGTTAATATGTACGTCTTAATTACACAAACACACACACTCTCTTGCATTGGAATATACACCTTTCATTTGCATGAGTTGAGAATAAGTGCTTAGCTTAGTCGAAGCAGAGGTGGAGAGAAAATAAATCTTCACTGAAGGAGAGCATGGTCATTACCAGTGAATGAAAATGAAAAGCGTATTTCGGCGAGCATCTCCTAATTATCCCATAAGAGAGGCGCGATAATTGGCATAGACTATATGGATGTTGTCACGTCCATATCATTTCCAGTGATTCATGGAGCTTTAGAAATGGTATCATGTAATATTGTGCATTTGTTCTTTTAATTTCAGGGCAAAATAAAATGCTGATCTTAAACACAGCTATAGAAAGATGAAATACAGCTCAACGCAGACCTCATTTATGTGAATATTTTGTGTTTCAAATCTTATGACTAAGATACCAATGGATATATCATGTATGCACAAATGAGATAAGGCACAATGAAACAAAGTGTCCACATGGTGGTCAGGGACTCAAGAGACCTATGTTCAACAACTCGGAATACGGCACCACCTTAAACAAATCCTTGATACCCTGCAGGCCTCAGTCATTTCATTTGTAAAATGAGACAATTACAGATGGGATTTGTAAGGGCATTCTCAATATTCAACTACAATTTTTCTTAGTGCCAGTAGCTCTGTGCGATATTCACCTTGATTTTATAAATAGAAAGCACTTGTTCAATATGTTCCCCTTTTCTTAAAGTGAAAAGCAAAAAAGCATGTGTCTCATTCTCAAAATGAGATGGTTGGATTCAAAGCATCAAATACAATGGTAACCACAAAAAAAATTCATGCACCATTGTATTCAATATACCAACAATGCAACCATGCAGTGCAAAGAGACAGGACAGAAACAGAAAGGTAGGTAAGATAGAAACTGCAGGTTTAATGTCATGAAAATTAAATGTAAGTGACCCTGCTCCTCTAACAACCATCAAACATTCTTTTTTTCCCCTTATTCAGTTTTTGCATTGGAGAAAGTGAGTGGGTTAGAAACGATAAAAAAAAAAGTGGTTGAATCCTGCCTGTCTTCCCTGATACATCATCAGGAAGAAGTCATTGGCCATGGTTGTGATCTTTAAGCTGCAGAGACATTAGTTCCTTAGTGTTGGAGGTGAGGAAACAGAGCTGGGCAGACAGCAGTGCTGTGGCATTGCCAGCCGGAAAGCTCTTGTGCTCTCAATCCCCTGAGTGGCCAAAGGAAAGCGTGGCTCTCCTTGAACAAGCATGGCAGATTAGGCATTGTTTGAATTCCTCTTTTGTTCAACATAACCATCTGGCTCCTCCTTGATTTCAACAAGGCACGATTAATGGAGATATTTATTCTTCTGGGAAGTCCATGGTGTGCCTAAACTTTGATGTAGGTTTGGGAGACAGAGAGGGAGCTTGTCACCATTTGCCTGGAGAAATAAATCTGAGGCCTGTAATCCTCACTGAGGTTGGGCTCTTTGGAGGGTTCAGGGGGACTTTCCGGAATCCAGGGCTGAGCCAGCCAACAAGGTAATGCCTGTGGTGAGTCTGCAGAAAGTGTACCTCCAAATGCATGGCTAGTATTTTGCCTAAATTTAAAAAGAATTAAGAAGCTCATTGCAGGCATGGCCAGCTTGTTAACTCACTGTGGCTCTGATCAAATTGCACGTTTTAAACCCAGCTAAGCAACTGTAACAGGACTCTGAAGACCTGCACTATCCAGGCAGTGTCTTTAAAGAAGCAAGCAGCCAAGAGATAAGGAGGCCATTAAATTATCCATCCTTCACTGGAGAACGTCAAAGAAGGGCAGTTAAATGAGCTTCCAATTTGGTGAGATTTTTTTGTGAAATTGTCTTCAGGTGGCATAGAGAATAAAATCCTCAATCAGTACCAGATACAAAGGGGAAAAAAATAAACCTCAAACATTGTAAGTATTGAGAGTTTCTCAGAGTACCTGACTCTTCAAGTTCACATTCATGAACTAATTTGTCTTGATTTATATTTAATTTCCTTAAGTTCACTAACTACCACATTTCACATGACTGTCTCGAGTTCATGAATTCACCTTCATTTTTGAAGTGATTTTTTTTAAAAAAATAATATTTTAAGAGGCAAAACATTAACCTATCTTGAAAAGGGTAATTCACTTGAGGATGGAACTGAGGTAGAGCGATTTCTTCAACCATTATTTGAGCAAGCAGGATTCGGTTCGAATCACCTTCAGCTTTCCCTCAAGATAAAACAAACCGATTCAAAAGGAAGACGGGTCCCAAAGATAAGTTTGACAGCGATTCCTTGTGAATCTAAGGAGGCTCCCCTTTCCTGTCTGATTTTATTTTCTATGCCCATGATGTGTGAGAAAAATGCTTGTGCAGAAAAAAAAAATAAAAGCCAAAGAAAATGGATTTTGATTAGTAAGGAAATGGTCCTGATTGTGTTTCCAGTGCCTCTCATTCTTCGGCTTTCCTTTCAAATGCCTCCTCTTTCATGTCTTGCACTCCCGAGCAGCTAATGTAGCCTAATTTGTTGGTTCTGCTTTCACTGCGAGCATTCACCACCTCTACCTGTACTCCCCCTCCCCACGTTAATGCTCCATGAGCTTTTGATGCGGGTAGATATTTAGATATGCTTTATGTGAAGTCCCCGAAATTGAAAAGACACCTTTCTTCCAGCTCACCAGAGTATTTAAAAGCACATTCAGCCCCATTCAGTTCAATTGTGTGCTTACTGAGCAACCTACTGTGTGCTGGGCAGCTAGCAAGTCACCACCAGCAGGAACCCTAGGGTCTCAGTTTAGGGGCTGACTTTTTCTAGTGCCATTTTCTGTAGTGTGTAGACTGTCATTACTTTGGCTACTTTGTTTTTCTTAAGGCCATGGTAGACTTTGCAGTTTGAATAAACAGCATCTTATACCAGCAGGTAAGAAACGGCTTCACCGTTGATTCAATGCTGGACTTTGGCTGTGAAATGTGCCCAGTGACCAGAAGAGTACACTAT